AAATTAAACTACAGTCACGTAATTAAAGAATCCACTGTTTGCTTTTTAAAAAATTTTTTACTGAACTAAACAAAATTAAAAACAACCCCAAACAAAGGCTTGAGAGAAGAACCTAACAAAACTCATAACAACAATCAGTGTTAGTTCAGACACTGCTCACTTCAATCTTTGTACGTGTCAGACTCCCAGCAATTACACACATAGACTGGGAATATCAAGAAATATAGAGTTCAAGCTTCTACACCCTCATGCACATTAGGCTTCAAAACCAAGTTTATTGGATTATAAAAGATCATGAATTTTTTTTCACAAAAAGGAGGGACTTCTTGTGCATTTAATACTTGCTGCCTTTTATTAATAACCTCTATGGATCTGTTTTGAGAGTACTTTTCCTCAAAGAGTGCTGGGTCACTGCTGTTTGCCTTTTACTCCCCTGGGGAAGCCACCAGTCATTTCCTCACTGAGAGTTGTGGCATTCCCTGTTCCCTCCATCTTTCCATCAGGCAAAGTCAGGTTTCCAGGAGTTCCCCAATCATGTTAATAATATGAATCCAATACTGCATTATTATATCCCTATTAGCATAGGGAGAAAACCATGCTTACTATCCAATCAACATATGTGTGTTAACCCTGTATATGCTAAACTAGATAAAATCTTTTTCCATAGCCAAACCAAAAACTTCAGGTTGCAAAATTTTGGGGAAATACACCCTTTCTCTCTCTGACAGGAAAACAACAGCTCAGAACACTGTCCTACACATTTTCCTTCTTCTTCCTAATTTTGAAAACTTTTCTGCTGGTTACTCTATTTTTCTTAATGTGCTGCAGATGCCAAAAAACACAAACTATGTTTATGGTCTGCCTGGTTTGGGTAAAGAGAGTCACACATATTCTCCTACATGAATGTGAAATTTCTAGTTTACCTAGCTGAGTGTATATGTACCATTAACATCATCTCTGGAGTCTGTGTCTTAGGACTACAACAGTCCACATGCAGAAAAAAAAAAAAAAAAAAGAAAGAAAAAAAAAAAGAAAAAAAAAAGAAAAAAAAAAGACATTGAGAAGTATCAGCTTTCAATTAATCTCAACAAGAAATATTATTTGGTGACATATGCTTGTGTTTTCTGCTGGAGACAACCCTCGGTTTTGTTTTCCTGCCTGAAGCAGGTGAAAGCATATGGGTAAACAAAAGCGTAATTGAATGCCACAATCATAAATGGTGATATTTAGTTTTTTAAATGGTGATATTTATTTTTTTTAAAGAACCTGGCATGATGGGAGCTGTAACGTAAATCTTGGGCCCTGCTGCAGCTGACTCAACGTACAACCAACTTGTGAATACGCCCTGTAAAACCAAGTGCAAAAACCGAAAATTACACGGTTTAGTTGTTCATCAGGTAAACCATGACTTGGGTGAAGACTCCTGGTTTCGTACCCCGAGGGACAGCACAGCACTCTTCTGTATCTAACGTGACTTTTCTCGTTTCTACAGCCCGGCAAAACATGAGAAAGATGAACAGCTGTAGTTTTCAAGGCAAAACGGCGAAGGCCTACAGGGGAAAAATGAGGGGAAATTCGGTCCTTTCTTCTTTCTGCTAGGTGAAAAGCAAAGAAATGAGCAATGGCCTTCAAGCCAAAGGTATCGGCTCCCTCCGGCACCTCCGAGCTGGGCTGTCCCCGCGCTGTGGCCAGGCTGCAGCTCTCCAAACACCAACCCCGCACGCAGGGCAGAGGCACGGCCGGCTGGACAAGGGCTGCCTTGTGCCGAGTCCCCCCCCGGCAGTGGTATTTCAGGTCCCTCTCTTCCCAGGCTTCTGCCATTTACGTTTTCCACACACACTTATAAAACAGCAAGAGGCCACACCACAACACCTGCACGACACTTCTCATAGTGCTTCAATCCCCCCTGCCAAGGCACACTTTTGCTTAGAAATTTCTCAATCCTAGATGACGTCTTGACTAAATAATACCAAATCCCCCAGGACTTTGCAGAGTGGGTCCCCCTCCAACCTGGGTACAGCCCCTTCCCCTCACCCAGCGCCTGTCAGTACATCTACAGCACCGCCCATCCCCACGGGCACATCGTCTCACGGATCGGCGTGCCAGGCACCCCGCACGGTGCAGACAGATCCTCTCCCTTCCAATTCACAATCAAATCAAAACAGAAAGATAAAAGTGCGCTAGCAGACAGCCTGCAGCTCCCCGACCAGCGTGACTCAGAGACCAGGGAGAGGAAGAGCAGGGAGAGGTCCCGTGGGCCCCGCTCGGCACGGCCGCGGTGCCTTTGGCAGCGCTCCCGCAGCG